AAAAAAAAAAAAAAAAACAAGAAAGATTCTGCATCAGCACACTTGGTTCATACTGCTCAATGGGCAGTAGTTTCTGTATTTCTCCAGACATCAAGTAGATGGGGCTGCAGAAAAGGGCATAGGGTGATGCCTGCAGGCCAGCCTCTCAGGCCCTTCAATGTGCAGCTTCTGACCATGCCCAAAGCCACCTCCTGCATCTCGTGGCCCATGGCTGGTTCTCCCTACTTGACCAGGATTGAAACTGTGGGTAGATCTGGCTGACTCACCAGCTTCCCTAAAGGGCACCCGCATCCCCCCACCTTTGAGAGCAGTGCACAGACTTCTTGTCCTGAGCTCATCTGACCATCAGTGGCCAGCTGCACTGGCGGCAGAAGTTCTGGACTGGGTCATTCTCCCCGCATCACACTTCCTCATCAAGCAGGACAACCCCTGTCCTGCCCACCTCACAGTGTGACGAGGAGCACAAGATGTCCTCGGGCCTGGATAAAGTCACATGAGGAAGCTAACATCATAGAAGCGTAACAACATGCTAGGTGACCACTGCCGTTCACACTGGACAAGTTGATTCAGTCTCTACCTCACCCCATCCCTACCCTATCTACCTGGCATGGGTTCTGTGGGTCCTTAGATCTGCAAACTGTTTAAACTGATGGAAAGGAAGTATCCCTCAGCCTTCTAAGGCAGGAAATGGAGAAGACGATGGGTTATGGAACCTCACAGAGGTGGTCTGAATTCCAGCCCAGGCCTCTTTCTGGCTTAGCTCTTCTGAGTCTCAGTTTCCACATCTGTGAAATGGGGATGACAGGGCTACTGTAGGTAAACATAACCTGACCACAGCAGGTGCTCAGTGATTGGCAACTCCCTTTATTGTGACAACGGACCACACCTTCCTCCTGCTCAGAGGCCAGCAGTGACTTGTGAAGCTGTAAAAGTGTGTACCTCTCAGCCCGGGTCAGATGACTGATCTATGCTAATGCCTTTATAGATCAGTTACAGCTGCACTATGAGGGGTTCTCAC